AAACAAGGACAGAACGTTGGAAGCTTTGGCAATATGACAGTGTGTAGAGAGCATGTTTGCTGAAGAGGGAATTAGATGCACGTAAACTTGTGATGCATTTGCACAAAAGAAAGCTGGAGCAGATGTGCATTGTGAGAAACACAATGGAGAGTAATATGAATGAAGTGGACATTCATTTTGCTGAGTCTCAATGCAAGAATAAGGTGTCACATAAAAATTTATAAAAATGTGCAGTTACAGGTTGGATTTATCCATCCATCTATCCATCCATCCATTCAACAATGTACAAGTTTTACTGTCTGAACAAAATCGAACAATTATCTGCCAACAAATAATTTAATAATATAGTGCATGACTTAATAACTACTCTAAGGAAATCTACAGAATCACCATCTGATCAATATAATTATTGTCTCAATAGACTAGCATGCAAAACTATTTGCAAAACACAGAGAAACCTGCCCTACTAATAGGAAGGACTATCACCGTCTATTGTACTTGGTTTTGTGTCTAATGGACTAGAATTAGTGGTTTTAATGGTCAGAGCCTGCAGGGAAATAACAGAGGGAATTCATAAGTGTTATTTTTTCTTGTTGCAGAAAGAGAAATGAAACCACATTAAAGGAGTATAAATATTTTAGATGGCTACATGCATTGTTCAAGATCAAGAATGTGCCCTACATATCAGCTGGAGAACAGTCACAAGTGAGCAGTCTGTAGATGACTGGAATAGTTCACCTGAAAAATGCAATTTCTGTCATTATTTAATCAGCCTCATCCATGTCCATATATTAATTATTTTCTCCTGTGGAACTTCCAAACGCTTTGCTAGTTGCACTTTTCCATGCAATTACAATGAATGGGGACTGACACTTTGAAACTTCTAAAACAAAGCAAACCAGTCACATTTGTGCACATTTAGACTGGTTTTGGGAACTGGATCAACAGATTCACTGAGGAGATTCACAGCCATTTCAGTTGTCCTGCTTTTGAGTTCACACAACTTGAAAATGACAATTTTGTACAGACACATGCCCTGTAGCACGACTGAATCCCAGGCTTATTTTCCCATAATGTAACATCTTAGCCTAATGTTTGTTAATGCAGACATTATGGCAGTGCGTAACAATAAAGCATTGCCTTTTATCTGGCATTCACAGCTAGGGATCTACATTACCAGAGACTCAGCTTAATGCTGCTATTAATGACTATCAGCAAAAACCAACAGGCGGGAAATCACAGATTCACTGCTAATTAGCGCCATTAGCCAAACGTGAAAATGTTTGTTTCCGAGAAGACCCCCTTCTGCCAGCACATGTGGAGCAGCCACACCAAATCCAGTAAGTGTGTGAACCTTGTGTCACTCCCATTTATGCTCTGAAATCCTCTTACAGAGATTGCAGGCAATAAAATTCTGTGGAATGGAAAAAAGGGGGTCGTGACGAAAAAAGAGCCGGCCACTAGCAGGAACAAGACTTTAATGTCAAGTTGGAGGAAAGCCAGTTCATTGTTCCCAGATTCAGACGATTACTGTGCACAAAAGAGCCTTACAGTCACGGTATGAAACGTACATTCGGAAACCAAGACGTGGATATAACGAAAATGGCCATAATTATTATAATGCTAAAGTGTTCTCATTCGCTGGGCTCCTGGAACTACAGGAAACACACAGGAAGTCTTTCAGAGTCCAGATAGTTTTTTGCATGTTAAACATGGATTTATTAAGCCACCAAAGGAGAATGTCTGCATGTGTCTGAATGATGTGTGCTTTTCTATGACTTTAATGAACTGAAAAGTGAGGCAAGACAGGAAAGTAGATGGAAGGGGGTCAGGAAACGGCATAGGCCACATCTAAACTCCAGGAACACCACTGATTTATAATGTCATGCTATTGATGCAGCATAGAGGGAGGAAGGTGGTAAGAAATTCAGCTGAAAAAACTGGAGCTGTAAAAGGATGCATTCTTACAATGGAAACCAACAGAACACAGAGTTCTTAAGATTCATATTTAACATAGTTTAAATGTTTTTAACACGGCATTGTGCGATGAGACACAAAAAAAACAAGACTCGAAAACAGTCAAAGACAGCTGTACATATACTAAAAATGCAAAACTGACAGAACACACACACACACACACACACACACACACACACACACACACACACACACAAAACCTTGCACTAGTGGTGGACCAACATTTCTGTGAGAGTGCCATAAAATGTGAACAGCAACTACTACTTTCTGTTGATTCAGTAGTTTGGTGCTAATTGAATAAAAAAAAAAGTTTTTATACATTGATAATAAACAATCAATTAATCAAAAACAAACAAAAAAAAAAAAACAATCAAAAACAATTGTGTTTTTGTGAAGAGTATGTACTCACTTTCTATAAAAAGCGTACAATTAAATGCGGTGTACGTCAACAACAACATAAACATTGTTATGATGATGTTGGTACCCAAGGTTTTTTATTTATTTTTTATTTTTTTGGACAGATAAGGACATTAATTATTGTATATAATACTCCCTAAAATAGTGTCAGTATAATTTACATAAAAAAAAAATGTTTATTTATAGTTATGCACATGATGTGCACTGACAAAAAAAAAATGTAAAACATTTTTTTCACTTAAAATTGCTAGTAAATAGAAAACAGAAAAGAAAAGAAGAAAAAAGAAAAGAAAAGAAAAGAACAAGCAAATTTGAGCTCTGTTGTTGTGTGTTGGGCAGACAGGGGTCAAGAGCAATCCTATTAAGTGACAATAGAAGGTGCAGCCAGGCCTTCACTTCGCCTCCATTAACACAGGCCATACAATGCATTAGCAACACACAGGCCATGAACCAGCATTACAGCAGAACACCTCAGTCTACTGGCCTGATGGCCATACAATTCTGTATCTTTGCCTGCCAAGTTACCACACATTCAGGATTGGGGAGACCAAATGTAATAAATGAAAAATCACTGGAAAATAGGGTTGTGACGGTGGGGACATTTCAACACCGGTTAGTCGACATGTAACAACACCGGTAATACCGGTATCACTGTGGGTGTGGGGGGGGGGGGGGCTCCCTCTTTTTCTCGCTTTCCTTCGCTTTTAAATAACTTAAAGGCGCCGTGCGCATTTTACTTTCACTTTCAAACTAGCAGCAATTTGGCATCAATTCAAGCAACAACAAAATACAAATTCAAACTCAACTTAGCCTATACATAAATCATAGAACTTTTATTAAGGGTGCTGTATGTAAGTTTTTGACTCTACTAAAGCATAACAATACCATAATATGTTTGCAGATATTTAAGAAACATGCTAAGTTAACATACTTGTTTATCTGAAAAACAATGCTACAGTCAGTTATTCTCAGTTATTTAAAATGTGCGTTCTGTGCCGGAATGTCGGTCTCTGTTTTGGTTTGTGAAACCCGTCCACTGCCAGTTTACCCAATTGCATTTCGGCACCCCGGGTTGCCAGTTGGCGGAAAACATGGCGCATTTTATTTCATTCATCGTCAAATACACTCGTTCCTGTTGGTGTCGTCAATCTGGCAACCTGCGTGTGCGTCAAGTCTGAGGAGGAGGTGCCGGGTGAAAAAAACCCTCTCCAATATTTAGAATTTGGACTGCAATACCTAGTTCAACCACTCGGTGTCAATCCTACATACAGCACCTTTAAAAAAACAAATCAAAATACACCATTCTATATGCTATGCCTACTATAAAATAACAAATAATTAACACCAAGTTTAAATAGCCTAGGTATACAAAACTGAAAATCAGCAAACATTGTGGAACCAAATAAATAAAAAACGTAGAATGTTTATTAGCAAAACTAATAAGAAAGCTTGAAGGCACGGCATACACCTTGATGTCAAATGAAATAAATAAATCACACAAAGTTTAAATAAAGTAAAAATCAGCAAACATTTTTAAAACATTAAAACATTTAATTGTGGAACCAATTAAATAAGATTTTATTTTTTTTTTTTACTTCCAAAATCACCTTAGATAAATGGCAAATGTCAACAGGCTTTTCAAAATCCAAAATATTGCCAAACAGGAAACTAAATAATCCACTATTGTCTTGTCTGTCTCACCTCACCTCACTCTTCTTGTCAGTCAGCTCGACTCACTCTCCTCACTGGATAAATGAAATCTGATCTGTGATGCGACTGTCCTTTAGCACGCTGCATTGAGCAACCACGTTCCGTTTTTAATTGTAGTGTCTGTTCTCTAACTGAACTAAATGATTTTTATTACTATAAAAAAATCTAAATGACGGTTGGGGACAGTGCCTCGGTGGGCAAGTCTATCACAGCAAGCCTACTGGAAACCCAATTTTTGCTGAGCACTAATCTGAATATGTGTCATCATCAATATCCAAGATGATCTGGCACCATGCAAAACAGATCAATGGCTTCACATGCAAGTAGCAGCAGTGATTGATTTTGTAGATAGAATGTCAGTTTTAGACATATCAAAGTCTCTCTTTATACACAAGTGTGCACATAAACACACAACCGAATTCAGAAATGCAGCCCAGATTGCATTTATGCCTAACTTGAGAAGATTCATAAACAAGACAGAGTGCCTCCACTCTTAACCCGAATTAGTTGACTTTACTAGAAAATTGCGTGGAAACCCGTTACACTCAACAATTTTAGTTTTTACACAGGGTGAAACTAAACAGGTTAAGTTGTATTAACATAGAACATTTAGTGGGTGTAGCAGACAAATCAAGTTGGCATTAGTAATCTTTACTAAAAAGCATTAGTTCACATTATGAATTTTTTTGAGGATATGTTTTATAAAATAACTATTAAGTTGAACAAAAAATATTAATATTAACAAATGATTTTAAGTAGTTATAATTGTTATATTTAAGTAATGTCTTATAATTTTAAAATGATACTAAATTGTAAAATTATTTTAATTACTTTTAAAGAAATAAACAATAACATTTCAATGTTTTTTTTTTTATTGTTCACAAAAAGTTGTACTTAACTTTTCAACCAAAAGACAAGTAACATTTTTTGCATAAGAAAACATTTTTGCTTGTTAACAATTGTAAATTGTTTAGAGGAACATGAACACACAGTATTCAACAATATGCTATATCCATGTGAATGACTAGAATTGCATTAAAACTGGATAAGCATTAAAACCTGAGGCAAGCCTCTAAAAGTTTAAGCTTGAGTTGACTACGTTAACTCACTAACATAGCAACAATTTGCAGATTTAAACACTTTTAGCACAGAACACAGCTAAACTTTGGGTCACTTACTGCAGTGACAGGACATTCTGAACAAGAGAATCTGTTCAAAGATTCATTGTGCATCTTGAGAACAATAACCTGCCATGGCTTCTGATGGTAGTTTCCCGCAACTCCTTTGTCAATCAAATTGTAAGTTGATCTTTTAATGTTTGTAACTTGGGTTTTAAGTCACGGTGGCCCAACATGAGGAGAACTTGTTGAATGAATTGGAATGTGTTCATCGATTTGGGGTAATTGAGATGCAGTGCATATGCAAGTCCAAAGAGAATGCACACAGCTTTTGGCAAGTCTTTAATGCCTTCCATCACGACTTCTCCCTCAATGATGATCTTAACTGAGGTTGGATTGAGGTGAAGAGAAGATGGGCACACAATACCTTCTTGCTCAACAAGGAGGATTCCAAGGTCAAGGTGGCGGAATGACTGATCATCAGAGTCCTACCAACAGAGCACATCAATGACATTTCTCATTAAGTAACCATCAATAATGTTAAACAAATAGCCTTGTAATGACACAGACACATGAGAGAATGTGTGAATTGGTTATGAATGCTTTAGTAACACTTCATCAAAAGGGTTAGTTCATCCAAAAATGAACATTTTGTCATTTACTTATTTACCCTCATGTCATTCCAAAACCATAAGACTTGTCTATTTTATAAAAAGAAATGAAGATATTTATATATATATTAAAAAAAAAATACTAAGTTATCTTTCCCTCCATTCAAAGTCACATAAAGCCCATTTATCTTTTCAAAAGGCTTGAAAACATAAATGAACCTTTAAATTGAGGTTATCTGGACTTTTAAAATAGGGACAGAAAGTTGCAGGTTTCATTCAAAATACCTTAAATTGTGTTCTGAAGATAAACAAGTCTTATGGGTTTTGACTGACATGATGACAATGTTAGAGAGAGGTTGGAAAGAGCTTTTGCTACTCTAAGTTCCAATGGTTTAAGCAATGTGTAAACGTTTTATCAAATACAAGGACTATCTATTAATAAAATGATTATGTTTTCATGGTCCTTTAAGATAACCTTTGAGAAAATAAGTTACTTACAAAGCATGCTTTGAAGAAATCTGTGGGGTTGTCACCAAGGAGAATCGGGAGCCCTCTGAGCACCAGTGACCTAATATCAGTTGGCTTTTGAGTCTGTTGGGTAGTAAAAAAACAAAACAAAAGGTAAATAGCTAGAATAACAGGAAATGATCTAGAAGAGAGCAGAACCAACAAAGCACAATTTTGTTGGACAATTGTATTAGACAACCAATATAGTATCACTTATTGTGACGTTTTCAATAACTGAACTATAAAAAAAACAATGCAACAATCTTGATGTAGGCAAGGAAATGGAACAGTTCTGCTGTAACATCCATGTTTTAACCTATAATGTTTTAATAGGTAACCCCGTTTGTTACATGTAAATTCACAAAACTTACATTTCCACTGCATCTTCACAAGAACCTGTTGAAACAGAGCATAAGAAAACGTTTAGAAAAAGTTGCAGAAAATCAGTTGCAGATATAATTCTACTGTAAAAGTTAACTTCTGCTAGCGATCTCGGCTTTTAAACAGTTCGTTAAATTACTGATATGTAAAAAAGGAAAAAGAAAAATCACTCATGTGAAACATTAAATAGGATTTTTTTTAACTATTACCTTAATAAACAAAGAGATATACGTTAGCGTTAGCCACAAGCACGTGCACATGCATGGACTCGTGC